AAAAAAAAAAAAAAAAAAAAAAAAAAAAAAAAAAAAAAAAAAAAAAACAATGAAATAATAACTACCTTAACCGGTATTTAAATGATTTTGTCTATGACCGACTGACTATAAGAGACAATGAATTAAATAAACCCAAATATTTAATAATCAAGCGCATGTAAATATCATAGTTAATTAAGGTCCATAGAACCAATGCCTGCACCTGTCATTAAATAAAATACTCGCCTATTTAATTACAATTGCCATTCGATTCATATTTTCTATAGCCTTTCCCACAAAATCCATAAAAATAATGCACACACCTATCTATGATTTAAAACTTCTCGTAGAAGAAATCTACGTAAGAAAACAAAAACTGAACAAAAAAAAGAAGATAAAGACGTTGTAGCCCGGCCTCCATTAAATACTTTGCATCACTTCCTTTTCTTGATGCAGTTATTTGTATAACGATCTTTCAATATAAGGCATAGTATGAAAATTGGTTGAAAAATTTGTTTAAATATGAACCACTTTCAATAGCTTTCATCCTTTGCTCAAAGCATGTCATTATACCAAATTTCATCAAAGTACCTCAAAAGTTACAGCCTGTAAGTTAAATATAAGAACACAGCGGGACGGATAGACAGACAGAACGGTATCGGTGTAATAAAGAATAGCACCACCTCAAGTTCTTTCCACACGAACTTAGTATACCCTTTTATCACAAAGCCAACGTTGTCAAAGGCAGCTGGACTCCACTAACGCTGGCTTAACTACTTCTTCTTGGCACTCTTAATTTTCCAAAAAAAAAAAAAAAAAGTTATGCAATTCAATGAGGATCATTTTATTTAACTAGATATGAATAAAGCCTTTTGCAAAATAGGCTTTTTCAATTATCTTTATCTATAACCTTGAACTGTTATCAATGAAGTTATATTTAATTTTTGTTATCTTAAATCTTTAATTTGTGAAAATATATAAACAATGGTAAGCATTTAATTAATTAATTCTTAAGTCTTTTTTACTATCTATCAGAAATTTCATTTGTTTTTCAATTGCTATCGAGCCTCTCACGCAATTAAATTGAAAATGAGATGACTAAGATATAATTAAAAAAAAAAAAAAAAGCCCTCAATAAGATTGATGAGCTTATTCAACATTTGTAAAAATCGTTATGCTAAGTGATTAACTTTTAAAGTTCAGCGACTTCGGGGCCTTAACACAATAAATCATAGACCTGAAGTGGGCCGATAGACATAAGAAACTATTCAATTCAATGTCAGCTCTTAATGTCTACCCATTCTATTGATTAATCTTAATTCAGACACACTATCATCTGTCACCTCAACTAATCGGTTAGATCACGATATCAAAAAAAATATTAAAAAAAAAAAAAACAAAAACAAATAAATAATGCATGTCATTAAGTTTAATTAATTATTTGAAAAAAATTGTTGCTTTCATAATCTAATTTCAATAGGGGGTTTTTCCGGTAAAAGTTTATGAAAAAAAAAAAAAAAACGTTTATAACAGTCTGCTGAACATCATTTAAATCATGAAATTCTGTCATTAGGAGAATTAATCAATATTCATGTTTCCAAGACCTTAAACCATGTCATCATAAAATCATTTTCGATTTTGCAGACTACGTTTGATTCAATGGTTACCTCAAAAAGGAAAATGATCGATGATTTGGTCCAAGTACATGATCGTGGCATTAGCCCTATTTGAAATGCAATTACATCCTTGGAGATTGACAGATTGGTTTGAAGTGGATTTTGTGCTGGCCTCGTAATTATGGTCAATTCGTCTCTTCAACCTAAGAATCGAAACCGTAGCACCGGTAAAATGTACCGCTTTAGAGAATTGAGCGCCTACATCATACCAAAAAAAATTATTCTCTTGTGTACTTCCCTCAAGAGACATAAATGTTTTTCGAAAAAATTCTACTTGGTACCAGAATAAATTGTACTGCCCGATTTATGAAGTTACATAAGTTTTAGTCTCCTTCAAAACAACTAAGAAAATAAATTTAAAAACGCCTGTTTGCTGTAAAGAGGCATGGGTCTGCAGATATTCAGTGAAAATCGCATTTCCAGATTTTAAAAGAAAATGCATTAAGATATATTTTAGATGAAGCATTATATCTCAAACAAGGGGATACAAATTTTCAAGCAAAGTCAGCTTTAAGTTCTAGTGTAGCTTGAGCAAAAATTTACAAATCCAGACGAAGTCCCGAAATAATTAAAGATGTGTCCTTATCGATACTTTTGCCTGTTTCATCCGTAATGCAAGTACACCGCTTTTGATAGGAACACGTTATAGGCGAGCTTGTTACTTTTTTCAACAGAAGCTCAGAGACAAAACGCCTTGCTTAAGATACAAGACTATGTCAGTTTCGTGCGGATGTATGCGCCAGCCAGAGGAATTGAAGATGAAAAATTGTGCGATCGATTTTTCTAGATTAAAAAAGTGATTCTTCACTTTCTGAATAACTTTCTGAATCGAACGAAACTTATTTATCCATCTGTCCGTCCATTAACATGTTCTTATGTTCAAGCTACAAGCCGCAATTTTTGAGGTATTCTCATCAAATTTGACACACTGTCCTGTTTTTGTCCAAAGACGAACGCTGTTGAAATTTTTTGGATCGAATCACTTTTTCAACCACTTCCCACATAACGTCTTACTATAAAAAGTCTTTGTGTGAATAATTGCATTAAGCAAAGTAATGTAAGTTACTTAATGGCCCGCTACAAAGTTTTTATTTGTTAAAAGCATAATCAAATTAATGACAGCATAAACAGAACAAAAGAAGGTAGAAGGATAACGATGCCCCGTCCGCTGTCTCCTCACAAAGTGTTATGGATCATATGTGAAATGTTTAAAAAAACTGTGGTAATCGCAAAAAAAATATGTTTATAATAATTTGAAATTCGATGCGCATATTTTTAAGAACTGTTGGGAAGCTAGATCTAAGAAGATCCACACGATCACAGTTAAAAGTTAAAAGAAAAAGTCTTCAATTTTCTTCACATATCTAAGCGTTGTGCCAAAGCATGTATAACTCCCGAAATTCTTAAATCTATTATAACGAGAAGAAATTGTCATTCATAAAACAAAAGACTTGTCATATATAAAACAAAAGACTTGAAAAGTTGCATAAAGGAAATTTCGCGGACTTGAAGAACGAGGAATTAGTTATTTACTATTTTATAAGGATAAACAAGTTTCGACTGTAGGAACATAATTTATATTGTTTTGTGTGTTTTTGATATGCATTTTAAAGTCAAATTTACTTCCTCTCAGTTAGTTAACTAATAGTGCTGTTAGACTATATCACATGTCCTTGAATCTCAGATAAATTAACAGCCATTATATGTTTTCACAAAATCATTAATATTAACACTTGAACACATTTTCTTAGATCATTTTACCTTTTCACACAACAAACTCAAATAAACAACTGAAAATTTCAAATTAATGCACTTTTATTTATACAAAATTTGCTTGAAATTAAAAAAAAAAAAACTGAAAAAAATTTGCGAACAATGCTTTTTGAAATATTAAGAAAAAGCTTTAGTTTTAAAGTTATGACAATGACAGCGGACAAGATCTGATAAACGGTATTTGAAGAGAGAAAGAACGAGAGTAACAGTCAAGGAAATGTAAGAGAGCTTCAAAGCTTTGCTTGTTTTTGTATTAATGAAATTGACACTCAATACTGCGTAGCACAGGTTCACGGCGATAATAGGAAGAAAAATGGCGAGCCTCAGCTTCCTGGCGAAGTAGCTAAAATATTTAAAAAATGAAAAAACATATTTACTTAAATATTTTTTTTTTTTTTTTTTTTTTTAGATAATAACTTACTTACCATCACTTCCGCGTAACTTAGGAAGCTATTAAATCGCAATTGACACTTATGGGCTTTATTGTCCAGCGAAAGCAACCATTCCTTTAAATATTGTTGATCTTCTCGCTGCAAGCATCCTTTAATCGTTATCTCACATATGCTGCTACTGACTAGAGGTAATTTCTTTAATTGATCATAATTGAAAAGGCGACAATAGTTCAATTGTATGTCATGCAAATTCTTAAATTTTTGCAATTGTTTGCAAAACTTTTGAAACATTTCATCCGACCATTGCCATTCCTGCCCATTAATGCAAACATTTTCCCGCATTGTTGCATAAGAGTGCGGTGTCCACTGTTGTAGGGATTCGTCTTCAATATAAAATCGATCATTTTCAAATGTTAGCTCGGTTAGGTGGCTGCATTTTTGATGATTCGCTTCAAGTTCAGCGAAATAATTCTCCTCAAATTGCAAAGGCATGAAATTAATCCAATAAAATTTCAATCTTTCCAATTGAGATAAATTTAGTATCGCTTTCAAGAGTTTCGAATCAGAGGTGAACGCAGTCATATTCAAATACTTTAGATGCTGCAAATTTGCACTTAGATCCAACATTTTTGGTACACTCTTCAATAAGTCGCATTCAACGATATTTAATTGCTCTATATGGCAATGTTTGCTGCAAAGCAAAAGGTTATCCATTTCCAAATTGCGGCAGGATTTTATTTGTAAATTTTGTAAATTCTCCAATTGCCATAGATGCTGACCGGTCAGCCAACGACTATCGCCATCTAAAAGTTCTATAGTTTTCAATTGTTTACAAAATTTACTCAACTCTCTGATGACTTTATCTTGCAAGAACTTTCCTTGCACTCGCAATATTTGCAAGTTTTCAAAGTGCTTCAGATTTTCAGCAAAGTTATGATTAATAAAATATTTTAAATTTTCCATTGGATTACCACCCATTTTCCATTCAATCTCTTTAAGTAGATCCATATTAAAATAAGAACTGAAACGCAACTCCTTAACGTGCCGACCGCATAAAATGCACAAATCTTTGACCATTTTATCATCCAGTTTCATCGAATACTTAAAATCCAGATAATTGTATATGAAGTAACGATACTTTTTACACCATATTCCTTTGACAGCTTCATAAAATTGTTGACACGTTCTGGCCAAGTTCAACTGTTCCTTAATACCACATAATTGAAAAATGTTATATAGAATATCCAAAGGCATATCTTGGAAATGGAATGGTTCAGTGGACAACGATTGCGATTGATTACGATTTGGATGAATTTTAATATTTTTAAAATCGTCCTTTAATTGATCAGGACTCAGACATAATATCCTATACGGTTTTTCTTGTGTTAACGAAAATGCTCGCCAACTCTTCTTCTAGACGCATACTAACCTCTCGTATTGAATTTTGTCGTAAAGAACAACTTGAGCCACATTATCTACATCCAGAGGTATAAAGTAATTGAATTGACAATCATTTAAGTTTAAGGATTTCATCAACTCCCGCCTCAACTCTTGTTCACTTGACTTTTGAAAAGAAAATCGTTTCAAGTCAACACAATCGATATTTATTCCAATCAAACTTACCGACTTGCTTATATTTGTAATCATAACAACGAAATCCTCCATAATTTCGTAAAATCAAATACTTTTATTTTATTCTTAAAAACTGTCGAAAATAAATAATTTACAAAAAATTATTTGTGAAAGTAACTTACGGTGTAACCAGCTGTTTTGTAACTAAGGTGACCAAAGGCCATCAGGGAAAGAAAGCAAATCTTGATAGTGAGTACTTTTCTGGAAATTTGCGAAAGAAAGAACGATTTGCTTAGGTGCTTGGTCGATGTGGTTTATATCCGGGTTTTTTTTTTTTTTTTTTTTTTTTAGCACAAAAAAGGTATTCTTTTGATAGATCCATACGATCTGTATAGGAATGGCAAAATGGACGGAAGAAGGTGAAATGATTCAACTCTCCAAATTGCTCACCGAAGTTTTAAAACTCAATACCAGCTTTGCGCGGATTGATTAGAAAATATATTTAAATTTAAAGTAATTTAATAAATCAAACTGTTAAAATTTGTAAAAATTAGTTTTTTGTAAAAATAAAACTATATTTATATGCACTCATTTGTAATTGACTTTTTTCAATTTCAACGATTTAATCGGTCTTATCAATTTTTTCCTTTCTTCACGATGTACTTTCATTTGTTGCTCGCGTTTTTTCATGACTTTACTTAACGGCTTACGCATATCAAAATTCATTTGACGATTACCCAATGAACGGCCGACCAACTGAATTTGCGCATTTTTTGCTTCCTCTTTTAAAATGCGATCTTGTAGAGGTGCTTTCATCATAGCTCGATCAATATAATTCATTTCCGTTGCACTTTGCAAAGATATCATCTTAAGTTCTTTTCTTCTTTTTATATCAGAATTTTTTTGTTCTTCCGATCCATTCAAATGTTGTTCTAATTCCTCTTCTTCTTGCTCTTGCTGCTTCTGCTTTTTCACGTCTTTATATACTTTTTTCATTTCTTTTGTAAATTCCTTATTGAATTCATCATCTGAGGACGCTGTTTCGCTTTCGCTCTCATCTTTGTCGTTATCCAATCCGAAGAGATCTTCGTCATTGTTAATTTCTTCGTGTTGTTCATTCTCTTCCTCTTGTAATTCTGCGACACGATTGATTTCAATGCGCTTTTTAATTTCTTTCAATTTCGATTTCTCTAAACGATTCAGAACTGGCGCTAACATCTTATATTCTTCAGCGTTTTTATCGATAGTGTAATCCGAATTTTCAAACATTACTTTGAAACGATTATCTTCCAATAAATTAGGCAATTGTTTGTTATCCCGCAGTTTCGAAGATGAGGGATTGCTTTGTTCTTCAATAATTTTCAAAGCCAATTCTTGATTAACATTTGGCAGTTTACCGGCCAATTGAAGACGCGGTTTCCGTTCATTTTCAATTTCCTGCCGCACCTTTTCCTTACGGAATCGCTCAAAAGCAAATGGATCCACAATCGCTTTGGCCTTATTGTACAAACGCACATCGATAAAATAACTAAAATAGAATCAAAACAAAAAAAAAATATCAAAATTATATATTCCCAGTTAAGCCTATGGAAAACTTACCCGTGCATATAGGCCTTCAGTAAATTACTGCCGATTAGATGTTCTAAGCCCAGCTCCTCTAGTTCCTTTTGTGTAATAAACTGATAATCATCGTATACATGTTCCACAACTTCGGATTCAATTTCCTCTGTCAAATTATCTAAGAATGAACACCACTTTGGCGCCATACCCATAGCGGGCACATAATAAGTTAACATTTTAACATCTTCTTGCGCCAGAAATAGTAAACCTGTTCCTGGTATTGTACAGAAATCGTTAAATGTTGTACACGCTTCAATATAAGCTATTTGTTTGCCTGTGCTTTCATCCCATAATTTAAGCATAGCATCGTCTAAAGAATACACGGCATTATGATTGTCATTGAAGGCTAAACGTTTTATAGGCAACTTGTTGAGATGATCTTTTATTAAAAGAGGTTCTTTAGAACGTATATCATATAAAAGAACATGACCAGATTGTGTGCCCACACCCATATTGAGACCATTTTTAAATTTTAATGTTGATATTGAAGGAAATGCTTTAGCGTCGGGTAATTTAATGGCCACATCTAAAATGGCACAACGTGTTCTGCAACGCGGATCCCAGGCTTCTACTGTGCCTTCTTTAGAACCAACAACTAACAGACCGTGTTCTGTACTAGCATCACAAGCATTCAAGGTAGAAGCTTCGCTTTCATAAGACTGCAGAAATTGCCCACGTTCCAAATTTAGACGATAAATTTCCTTAGTAGTGCCAACTATGAATAAATCACAAGAAGGCTTATGATATTTCATGTCACGGCCAAATCGAGGTATACGCACACGATAATGCCGGCCAGCAGCTGAATGAATTTCCAAATAACGATCACATTGCAAAAATATTAATTTACTATAATCATCACTAATGACCTCAAACGTGGTGACTTCGGAATCAAAACAACGCTCAAACTTAATAGACAAATTACGCACTTCAAAGCATTTGAGGCGCGGTTTATATGTGCCGGTTGCCAATATAAATTGTTGGTCAGGACTCATGCGTATCGAAGTGCAAACACCGGGCATATCGAAATCTTGAATGAGTTCAATTTGCCGGCGAGAGTCAACCTTCTTCTTCAACTGAGCACGCTTGCGACGATCTGTAAGCCACTGCAAAAAAGACAACGCATTAGAGGAATAAATCACTTGCGTAAACCTAGAAGAATTAATCACTTACTTCCGGTACCGATTTTCCCGCACTTAAATTGTAGATTTTTATATCATTTACTTCGTTAACAAACATTTTCTTTTTATGGATGTTGAGTTAAGATGGACCAAGCCAATAAATAAATTTGTGGCTTATGTGCATAGAACAAATATTTTCCTTGCACAATAAAAAAAGAATAACAATAAAAAGCCTTTTCATCTTCTCACGTGTAAGACACATATTGTGAATGATCTATGTTTTTCAGTATGACATTTTCGTAATTTTTGACACGAACCAAAAGATTGAATTATTCGTTTACCCGCTAACAACATTTATATATAAGACTGAAAGCTAACAATTTTGTTCAAGAAATAAAAACAAAATTCTCAACAAAAGAAAGTAAGATATGAAAATTAACAATAACAAAACTATTTTTTACTCAACGCGGCAAACTTTTGATCTGCTGAATTGTAGAAAAAGAATAAAATTAATATAAAAATGAAGATTTTTGAATAATCAAGAAAAATGATAATTGGTAAACGAAGCAAAAAAAAAAAATTCGAATTACGTGGATGAAGAGAGCAGATATTGAATAAGACCACATTTTCGTTTGGAATGAATCCAGTCGTTAACTTTTTATATGAAGTTGAAGTGCATCATAGGTTTTTGTCACATTTGTGAAAGTATTTGTATGCCAACAGTACCGGAAACACATACGAATGGCCAAGTGTAGACCGCAAGAATTTCGACGACAACGATTGTTTAGGAATAATTTGCATCCGAAAACTTTATCACACTCAAATATATATCTATCTTGAACCCCGACATATTTTAGAAGATTATCTATGCAGCATTTTTTTAGTTGTAGTCATTTCACATATATATATTTCATGAAAAAAAATATATTTAATCCAATAAAATAATTCCTTTTCATTAGAAATAATGCAAAACAAAAAAAAAAAAAAATACTTAAGTTTATAATTTAATATACACCGTTTTTGTTTCTTTTTCTGCCTTCTTTTTCGTTTGATATAAGTTGTTTACATAGCCGTAGGAACTTAAATGCAATCATGCGAACACAATGAAAAGCTGCGTTAATATATTATTTTATTAGAATGAATAAAGAAGTCTTGATATAAATATTAACAAAAACATATGATTTGAGAGTAAAATTAAAGAAATCGACATAAATATCTGTGAAACGACGATAAAAAAATTAATGTAAAAGCAAATCAAACTTTTGATTGATTAATGAAAGAATGAATCAACAAAGATGATGTTAAATATGTTGATTTGAGACATATATTTTAAATTGGAAATGAATCGCTTGTATTATTTTGGTATAGAGCCGATAGCCTGTGTTGCTAGTGCTCAATATCTCTTTTTTTAGTCTAAGAATTCAATTCATTAGTCTAAAATTAAAATAATAATAATAATAATATTTTGGTATAAAATGAAATGATATAATATGAAATATGAAAGTTATAAATCCTGTCACATAAAAAAGGTTTAAAATGTTACCAAAAAAACATAAATTAGATAAATAATTTCTAAACTTAAAAAAAATTGTCATCATTTGCTCTTGTGCGTGTTTTCATATGCAAAACATGCAAAACCATATGATGTTCCGATTCCCACAAATAGAAATATCGTCCCAAGAATAAGAATAACGCATCACTGCGTTAAAGCCTACGATTTGCTAAATTCTGCTAAGGTAGAGTAATTAAGTTTTTATATCTGTTATTGTGATTGGCTCACACATTTTACCTTGATTGCAATTGCACTGCTTAACTGAAAATAAATAAAAATTATTTCGATTGAAAAATTTCGCAGTGGATTTTAATGTAACTTAAATTATGGCTTTTCTTTCCACATTGTATTTATAAAGTGTTGTGTTTATAACGGAAAATAAAAAACCAATTCATGTGTAAAAAAAACTGCAATCGATAAAATATCGTGAATGATTACATTCGTCGTTCTTCCATCACTAGTGGATTTGCAAAAATAATAACATAATGAATATAAGCAAAGAGATTAGGAAAAATTCAATAAAGTGCGAACAATAAATTTCTATAAAAATCGGATAAAACGCTCAATTTCATGTAAATGTAACATGTAATTTATGAACGCAATTATCAAATTATTATAAAAATTTTAGATAAAATGAAAAATTGAGTTTATAATTAACTCATTTACAAAAGAATTGCTTTTGTTTTAGCTCGTATGAATTTTAACAAAATCTAATACATGAAAAAGAATTGCAAAAAGGTAAAGAAGTTTTCGTTAATAAAAATTTTAAGGAAGTAAAGTGTTTATCAAATCTTGGAATATAATATTTGAAAATTAAATCAATCGTTTATATCAGCATTTAATAGGTGAGTATTTTTCCACATATAATGAATCATTTTACGCACTTTTGTTGTTGTGTCGCAATGTTTCTTTAAAGTGGAGAGGGATCGGCGAAAAAAATTTTTGGCTGGACAGAGAAATGTATAAAATATATATCTTTTAGAGATGACAAAAGAATGAGTTAGTGGCAAAAAATAATAATGCAAAACACGCATACATTCACACGCTATATCTGCGGCCTGTGTGGAAAATTTGAGACCATCTTTTGAAAGCGTTGAATTACAAAGCTCTTTGTAAGGCCGTCGCGACGGATTAAAGCGTTTATTTAAATATTTGGAAAGATTTCTACAAAAAAAAAAAAAAATTCATGTTTATTAACTATTGTAGGGCAGAAAACATTTTTTGAACTAAATCACATTTATACTGATGCCGCGGTAACTTTTTAGATGGTTTTTTTCTCTTTTATAAGATTGAATAACTTGACGTTTGCGTTAGATGTAAGATGGGGTCAATTAAAATTGCTTTTGAGTTTTCATTTATTAGCTTTTTAATCTATGATTTAAATATAGCGATAATTGTACGATCAGTTCTATCACGGCTTAAATATTAGGTGTTTGCAAAAATTTTGATATTTTTTCGCAAAATATGTGCAATACATATTAATTAAAATAGTTTCCATCATTTTTTACAACAATTTACAATATTTTTGGCAACATAGCGATATCATGTCGAAAGAACTTACATTGTTTTGGCAGCGATACACCCACCGACCCATTTTCGCGCTTCTTTAAGTTTGGAGATTCGTGTGTCAACCAAGCGATAGTGTATCGATCTGAACATCGATCTCATCCAAGCTGAAACAGTGTATCCTAGACCATTCGTGCCAAACAAGTGGCCAAGACAAAGCATTTCCAATCAATTTGTGTTGGCACTTTCAAACCGCGAATTAGGGTTTTATAGAGCAGCACCGTCATAAGTCTCTGAACGTGTTTGCTAGGCTAGGCAGCAGATTTCTTCAAATAAACAACAAAAGTAATGAATTGGATAGAAGAAGATTTTTCAGCGCTCCATGATTAGCGTTGGCGTACGATGAATAAATCAATTATATTAAATGGAAAGCTGTTATGTTACGTAGAGGAAGGTCAAAATCATCGAATTTAACTTGTATACTTATATTTCCCATTTCTTTATCATATCTACCTGTACAAGTCGTAGATAAAAATTTTTGCATAAACTCAATACAGTTTATGGAAATGTTACTGTTTGTGAAAGAAGTCGCGAATTGAAATATTAAAAGACTTTTTCTCGTCTACTTATAGATCTCCCCCAACAATGTCGAGTGCGCCGTATAATTACAACTATATTTTCAAATATATAATAATCGGTGATATGGGTGTAGGCAAGTCTTGCATATTACATCAATTCACTGAAAAGAAATGTAAGTCAATAAACAAATTTTACTGCTATTCTTGCCTCCACCACGGAGCGTATATTAAATTTATAAAATATTTGCAACATATGTAAAAACGCATCGAGAGGCTTATAAAGTTTATTTGTCGGTTAATGTTTGCCCGATTCATGAAAATTGTATATTGGTGTAGGTATTCCTTAATCGATTAAGAATGTAAGGCCGTTTGTCCACAATATGGAAGAAACTGAAACAATCTGGCAAAATGGCCGACATGTTTTCAACGTTATTGCCTATGCCTTTATATATCGTGAAGATACTTGTGCAAATCTTTGATCCAAATGTTTGCCAGAATCACCTTCGTGTCCCTGGCTTAATACGAACACAATTGACAATAAAATTTTAATTCCCATTTATTTTTCATTCATTTAATTTTGAGATAAATTGGAATTGAAATCCCATGGCTAATTGTGAGCGTATTGGCAAACCGTTCAAGACCAATCTTGGATCAAACATGACGATAGATTTCACGAAAATTTAAGTAGCAGGTCTTCCTAAATACCTTCACAGAATCGAAACCCATATGCGGAAATATAAAAATTTATCGCTTTTGTGCAAAGTTGTTTTTACGGTGGCGTGCATAGAGCTTTAACGACCTTGATTTTTGCGACTGCAAAAATAGGGGATCGAAGGGACCTCCTTTTGGTACAAAAAGCCATATATGTAAAGCGTCGGCAGTTCTAGCGTTAAATCTATATCCCCTCGTACATACGTGTATTATCAATATAGGGGTAGCAATTTTCGAGACCGAGACGATGAAATTTGTTCTACTGACAAACGTTATTCAAAATAGAACTTTGCGACAATCCACCGCATTGCACTTTGCGAAATTTCTACTGTATTTTGAAAAAGTTGAAAATGCATAAAGAATAAGTTCTCTCCCCAATAAGTCTTTTTCAAAAAGATAATTTTATGCGGCTGGAACTCATTTTTGTTACGTTGATAAATTTAAATTGTATGTAAGGGGCGAAGTGGTGTATGGCGTATTTAATAGACTGCTTTGCCCGACTATAAAATTTTAATTTATATTTGTTTTACTAATGTACAATCGTCATAGTCATGGCTAATTGCCCTCATACAATCGGCGTGGAGTTTGGTACACGTATTATTGAAGTTGATGATAAGAAAATCAAGTTGCAGATATGGGATACTGCAGGACAAGAGCGTTTCAGAGCTGTAACACGATCGTATTATAGAGGCGCTGCAGGCGCTTTAATGGTTTATGACATTACCCGACGTTCTACATATAATCATCTTAGTAGCTGGTTAACAGATACGCGAAATTTGACAAATCCAAATACAGTTATATTTTTGATTGGTAACAAATCTGATTTGGAGAGTACAAGAGAAGTGACATTCGAGGAAGCTGAAGAATTTGCTAAAGAAAATGGTTTAATGTTTTTAGAAGCAAGCGCCATGACGTAAGTAACAAGATCCAAATAAAATCGAATTAAGAAGAATTTATGGATTTTTTCTTTTATTATTTTTCTAGGGGACAAAACGTAGAAGAAGCATTCTTGGAAACAGCTCGTAAAATCTATCAAAACATACAAGAGGGTCGTTTGGATTTAAATGCTTCTGAATCGGGTGTACAACATCGTCCTTCTCAGCCGGGACGAACCACTTTAACCAATGAGGCCCCTTCTGCTAAAGATCAGTGCTCATGTTAAACATTTTGTTAGTACTAATTATGTAAGATTTATATATTTTATATTTTATTTTTTTTTCTAGTTTTCTCTCTACTTTCCTTTTTCCGTTTTTTTTCTGTACTTTTGTAAATTTTTTCAAATACTACTTTTTATATAAGAAAAAAAGTAAACATTTTCTATACACGCAAGTAGCTATTTGTAAAGCCTATAATTAATTTAAAAAAAAAAAAACAAGAAAAAAAACACACATAGAAGAAATGCAATAAGTGAAATATTTACTCTTTAAAAACGTCCTCAAAATCTACGACTTTTTTTAAAAAAACTGTGCGAAATAACAGAGAAAAAAAAAACCTTTGGATCGAATCTAGATATTTAATAATAGTTAACAAAACACAGATTTTCTTTTTACCAAATTTTAAACATTTTCGAAATCTCGCAAATAACACTTTTTGTTTTGATATCAATTCTTGATTTTTTCTAACTTCAAATATATACTTTGTATTCCTCATTGCATTACCATCCCCTTTTTCATTTTTTTTAAAGCATGTGTTATCATTTTTAGCCAAATATATTGATTATGATATAAGTCGTATAATGAAATGAAGAAAAACATCTGTAACAAGTTGATTAGCTGGTAGTAATTAGTTAATACGTAAACATATACATATACATACAATAAAAATAAATATATATATAATATAATAACAAAACAAGAACAAAACAAGTTTTTATGGGAATTTTCAAAATACAAGCAATAGCACTAAGCACGATAGCTCTAAGCACGAAATAACAATGCTTATTGCACTCCAGTGCGGGGCGAGTGGGAGAAGTTCTTCTCCTTAACGCTTAATATTTTTCTCTTTCTCAGTTCCACAAACTTTAATTTAAATGTTAATTAGTTATGTGGACCAAATCTCTCTCAAGGTTTTCGCTTACAGTTGAATTGCATTAGTTGCGTAACGTTTCAAATTTTCTAGATAGAATGTAACCAAACAATTTGAATTAATTAAATAACAGAATTTAGTAATCAATTTAAAAGTTAGCCGATAATCCATTCGAGAAAGTAATACATTACGTCACCATACCTTTGACCAGCAACGACTTTGGAATAGACCGAACCGCAATATGTGCATCTCTGCGGTTTTTTCGGCGATTTTATGGATGTATTTATGCTGAAGAAGATTTCTGAAGCAGATCAACAGTAGTATATATGCCACCACTGGTTCCAATTTGTTTAATCTCGACCCAGTTCTCACGAGCCGGGGCATACATCGAGGTAAATCTTGCATGATAAACGTTGTGAGTCAAGTTTTGTTGTCATTGTCCGAGTATTATAATTAAGTTGATTGTATTCATAGCTATTGTTCGAGAAGTTCAACATACTACCCTCTTGCTACCCTCTTCTAAACACTTTTTTTTTGCTTTTCTTATTTATTTAGTTTTTGAATCTTTTCATATTTTCTGGAGCACTCTGAAAGTAGTTGGATCGTATCCGCCTGAGTGGCCGAGTAGGCAAGTGTCTCAATGGTCGTGGGTTCAAATCTTAAGTGCGGTAGAGTTTTTAATAAAGCCGAATGCCTTAGATGCTAGTGCTTTAAGACATCAGTCTTGTAAATTTTGCTGCAAATATTTGTAAATATCATCCAAAAATTCAGAGCAGAAATTATACCTTTGTTTCTAGTTAAAAAAGTATTTCTCATATTTATTCGAATTGTAAAATTTAAAGAAGCTTACAGTCTAATAATTGGCTTTTTACAAAAATACACATCAGTGATAAAAATATTGAACACGTAAAACATAATATATAAAATGTATATATAAAATATATATAAAATATTACAAACTCCTTTAGAGCAATACTTTCATTTACTTATTATTACGCATTTTTTTATACCCTACACCGCTTGCGGTACTACGATATGGAGTGAGTAATACGCAGAAGGACTTAAGATAGACTCACCTTTCATTATGCCGATGGATTCAGCACGATTTTCCATATCCATCTGTCCGTTTGTCTGGTATCTGTCCATAGATTTTATGTTTAATCTACAGGTCGCATTTTCCAAAATATTTTGTTGAAATTTTGTACACTGACGTGTTGTGCGCTATTGAAAATCGTTCGGATCGCATCACCTTTTCGATCCGCCACCGTATAATACCTTATCTTAATAAATCCTTAGATAAAAAAAAAGTGTAAATTTCAGAATTTCGCAACCAAAATCGCTTAGAAAAAGTACTTCGCTATTCTAAATTGGTGAGAAAACCTCGGATAGAATGGGACAACTGTTCCTTCCTATATAACCGAACCTTTATGTGGTAGAAAGGCCTAATTTTTAATATATCTTGATGAAAATTCGTTATGTCCGTTGGTCAGTTGGTTTATTTTTTGGATTCCACCTCATAGAAAGGTTCTAATGAAAAACGAGCCTTCATACGCCCAAAAAGACGAAATTTTAAGATATATATAAATGAAAACATAAGGCATGTGGATCACATAGGTCATAGGCTTCACAATATGTACGGGGGTCTAATGAAAGCAAGATTTCCTATGACGATAAAGTGTAATTTGTGGTTTGTTGTGGCGAAAGCAACTCCGCAAGTAAATTAAGTCTGCTTAATATGGTCTACGTTATGTGTTATTAAGAAAGTTAATAAATTACTGTATTATGCGAAGAGGTGCATGGTATTTAATAGTCGGTCTTGCCCGACTATAACAATCTTACTTTTTTTGTGCTTAATCTTAGTTAATTGCCACAATATCCCAAGCGTTCGCCTGGTGTTTGGCGCATAAATCCAACAGTAATTCAGAATCAATTTCCGATTTCAAAGCTCTTAAACACGTTCCAGTTGCCATATTATATAAGGGACTACGTTCAGCTGTGGTGTGACGCCATTGTTGATCCCCTAACATCTCATGACATTTATTAATAACCACTTCCGTGTCTCCAGTAGCTTCCAAGCAAAGTAAGCGATCTAAAATAATTTCCGATTTATCAGTTTCGTACCATATTTGATTTTTTTCCCGTAAGCATGGTCGTAACACCAAAGGACTGCCTTTTTTCCAAAAACCTTTGACTTTAGGAGAGACTACAGAGGCGCACAAATTTGATTCGGAAAGTCTTAACTGATAAGTTTTCACATAATTGCGTTTTCTAGAATGCCACGGTTGAAAGACCGGCGCTTTATTCTGTTGAACCTGCTCTTCTCCCGGTAATTTTAACTCAGGATAAATATTCTTTAAATACCACGAAAAATCTTGACATTTTAATCGTTTACGCAAATTTACGCGTTCAGATATATCACCAAAATCCTCTTGAGAAGACAATTTCTCATGCTTTAAATAATATTTTATGTAATCATCCATCCAAACGTGGGCTAAACGTAGAGAATTCTTTAACATGGTATCTGAGCCGTCCGGTGAACTATAGGGACGCCTTTTTCGAAATATATGTCCCACACGCGAGCAGGGCACAATTTTTATGGCACCGCCACACTGCCAAGCGCGAAATGAAATTTCCAGATTTTCTCCACCCCATATATCCATGCCCAAGTCATAGCTACCTATATAATTGAAATATAAGCGATTAACAGCAAATAAGCCTCCAGCCATTGTTGGAGATTTGAATGGACCTAAATTAACAATAAAAAAAAAGAAAATAGTGATAAGAAACAATGCGTATAAATCTGCATTGGGAAAAGTTACCTTTGAAATCCTCCTCATTTTTCAGAGTTCCTTCTGGCAAATTTTCCCACTTGTAATGAAGACCCCAATTAAAACCACCTCTAACCAAAGGGCTTGATAAATATGCAAAAGTATCGGGATTAATGAGATCTATCACTGGTACACCCAAAGTTGAATTTTCTTCGCTTATTAGGCGCAATAAAGGCTCAGCCCATTGTTCGTTCACCTCTATGTGTGAATCCAAGAAAATGAGAACTTCACCTTTAGCTTCTCGTGCTCCTATTACTCTTGATCTTATTAAACCTTCACGTTGATCATTACGTATATATTTTAAATGGTCATAACTAAATTGTTGATACAACTCGAGCTGCAAATGGAAAGTTAACTCTGGTAAATCACTAAAATCATCTACCAGTATAATTTCTTTGAGAAGCCGAGCTGGTGTACGTTCTAGAACTGTTTTAATGGATCTAAATAATGTCATTTTATGTTCATTATAAAAACAGATAATTACAGAAGCAGTTGGCAAAGTTTCAATGGCATATCTCCGCGGACAAACTTTATGCCGAGTGTCCGGTATTGAACGTATTAAACCAATATTATTGGACACTAGAGCATTAAAGGCATGATGCTTGTACCCAATATCACGTATATATTTATCCTGCTTATTTTTTACCACTCCCAAAGGAGGAACGTGAATGCTATCCATTAGTTGTGTGATATTCTTCAAAGGATTCGGTGTTAATTCGAATTTTTCGCTTAAACATTTGGTTCGAATACGAGCTTCCATAGAAAGCAAAGTATCTCTACTTGCTGTTAAATTAGCAGACCAGCCGCCTCGTTGAATGTCTTGACGCAGCATGAACAGGTAAAAGATGAAAGAAGACATGCCAAATATCACCAAATAGCATTCTAAGGTGAACGCTTTACAAATTCTTCGTTTTAGCTGCATTGTGGAGGGAATCTCTGCGGTATTGATTTTCAAAGACATTTATGGAGTTTTTTAATTATTCTAATTTTGCTCGCTCTCATATTTACTATATACAAATTGGCTTTAGTTAAATACCAAACACTTGTTTATAAGAAAAAAAAAAAAACAATACAAAACCTGCCATATGAATATGGTGACATGACTTCTTTTGCACGTAAACACTATTTTCATTTTCATTGATAGGCTGAGAACAGATAAACTCTATTTCTGTCTCGTTCGCTTAGCTGACTGATGGCTTAGAAAATGGTTTGAGAAATGAAGATAAGAAATATTCATGTAAAGGTAAGTAAGTATTTATAAAGTTTAAGAAAGAGAAGAAAATGAACACACATATAAACAGGAAAAAGTTAATATAAAATAATATATGGAAAATGATTTTAAAGAAATGGAATGCTAGAACACTCTGATGGTAGAATAAATAAACTTCATAGAAATCTTTTTCATCAACTAACTGCTAGAATTTCTGAGATTGTTTGAAATTACTCTTTTAATAAAGTACGCATTTGCGCCGTCTGTTTATTCGACGTTCTATTTTGAAAAAGAAACATTCAATAAACTCTATTCGATTCCAAGCATATATTGTGTCGTTGCAATCATGGGCAGGCATTGAGATATAAAATACATTTTAATATGAATAAGTGTAATAAAGAAGTTAGTGTAGGGTGTTTAATTATGATCGCTTCCCGCTACGCTGTTTTCACTTGTTTTTAAAACAATTTAACGTATTATTCTACTAATGCATGTAAATCAAATGGTAACTTAATATAATTAATATAAATCAAAATGTAAAATAATATAGTATATGAAAAGATTTAAATTTATAAAGGATAATAATTAAAACTTGCAATTTTGATATAAAGCATCTTTATTATTCCTTTTTCTTCTTGAATCTTCAGTTTGTGAATGATAATTATGATGAATAATTGTTAAATTATGTTAATATATAACCAAGTGCAAGGGTATTTCAAAACACTCAACTAAAAAGGTTGCAATGATATTCTTTCCAAAGCTAGTTAATTGTACTTCGAAGAGATTCTAGTACAAATTTTTGAAAAGACGCGTTTTAAAGGATGAATGTAATAGATATATTCTAACAAAACAAAATGTTGTCGTCATATATGTTATTTCTCTTCTGTGAATATATATAAATTTCTATACTTATAAAGCCTATAAAGCACATCACGAATTTTACTATTTTTGATTTATTGTTTCGTTAATGCGCTTACATGCCGAATTCCCACTTCTTTCCTTACTAAACAATTTGTTAGAAAAAAAAAGGTGTAAGGTGCCCAAAAATTTTTATATGTACCATATTCGATGTTTCCCTAGCCCGCAAAATTTGTTATTGTGGTGGGTTTATTTTTGATGTCGGTTTATTTTATGAAGTTTTTTATTATGGCAACTCTGAAACAGTATAATCTAATAGTAACAAATTGAATGAATTTGCGCCTAAATTGAAATTAAAAAAATTCATCCCAAGAAAAATGGAAACAACGGAATCTAATAAACAAGAATTACGATTAAATTTAGGTAAATGTTGTAAAGATTACGACTTATATGATAAAAAAATTATGTATTCTTGCAGATACCAATGGTCAAAGGAATTTTATAAAATTTTATAAAAGCTTGGGAGATGTATGTAGGAAAGCATATTTTCTGTATTTATTTTGGAGTTTATTTACATGTTTTCATATTTTGTCGTAGAAACCATCTACCACGGTGCGTTTCTTTGATCGTTCGGAATACTATACGGTTCACGATGACGTTGATTGTGATTTATTGTCACGTCTCGTGTATAAGTCAACTGCATATATACATAAAATGTCGCCTTCGTCTTCAGATAGTCTTACATATGTTACGTTATCGAAAGCAAAATTTGAGAGCGCCGTGCGGGAATTACTGCTAGTACGGAATTATCGCGTTGAAGTTTATGTACGACATCCAGAAAACGATGGATGGCGTGTGGAATACCGCGGCTCTCCGGGAAATTTGCTTCAGTTTGAGGATATTCTATTTTCCAACCGCGAGATACTTGTGGGCAATAGCATTCTATCGTTGCAATTACGCTGCGAAGGCAATCAACGTAAAGTGGGTGCAGCTGCTGTGGAGCAAAATGATTGCGTTTTTCAGGTATTAGAATTTGTGGATGATGATTTCTACACTGAATTGGAGGCGACTGTGGTCTTGTTGGGTCCAAGAGAATGCTTATTACCAGCCACTGATGGGGAGGTAACTATGGCTCAAAAACTTGGTGAACCTTTTGAAATTATCTTTGAGTTTATTTTGCTCTAGCATGAGACTATTAAAAATCTTTTGGAACGTAATGGGGTGATGGTTACGGTGCCTTCCAAAATACCTGCAATCGAAAAAAATGACTTACAACAAGATTTAAATCGATTATTACATTTCAATAAGGGGCAACAAGAAGACGCTAAAGGTTTACCCGAGCTCCGACTTACATTAGCAATGGAAGCCTTAAGGGTGGCTATAAAATATTTAGATTTGACCAATGATGCTAGTAATTTGGGGCATTACCAAATTCAACAGCTTGATTTAAAAAGGTGAGTAGAAACTTTACTTCCAATAGTTAAAGGCTAATTATGACCTCTTGCTATAGATTTGTACACTTGGATGCTGCTGCTGTAAGTGCTTTAGACATACTTCCACGAGCGGGTGTACAATCGTCTTCTCCTTCCTACAAACATCAAAGTGTCTTGGGTGTTCTAGATCACTGCCGTACACCTCAAGGACACCGTTTAATGTTGCAATGGTTGAAACAGCCTTTAAGAAGTCGTGAGATTCTCAATGATCGTCATAATATAGTACAATGCTTCTTGGAAGCCCCTGAGTCGTTGAAAATTTTATATAATGATTTTTTAAAATGTGTGCCGGACGTTTTGGTTCTAACTAAGAAATTATTGAGAAGTAAAGCAAATTTGCAGGATATATTTCGTATATATCAAATAATATTGCGTACTCCGAAGATCGTTACAGTATTAAAGGAATTGGAAAACACCACCGTAAAAAGTGTTTTAATAGATCCTTTGACAGGATGCTTGGAAGAATTAATTGGACTCAAACAAATGGTAGAACAAGTAATGGATTTTGCAGCCATCGAAACAGGGGAGTATTTAGTTAAGGCGTCTTTCGACCAACAGTTGATGGAAGTAAAACAGCACATGGATGTGTTGCTTGCTAAAATGGAACGTTTAAGGGAAAAAGTTAACAATGATTTGGAATTTGAGAAGAATCAATGGGTGCGTTTAGAAAATGTGTCCCGCATTGGTTATCATTTTCGAATAACATTAAAGGATGATGGTGCGCTTCGTAAACACAAGTCATATCGTATATTAGAAGTGGTTAAGGGCGGTGTGCGTTTTACATCCGAGAAGTTGGCAGGGATAAGCGAAGAATTTTGTGAACTATGTTCGCAATATGAGGATCATCAAAAAACTATAGTTATTGAAATAATTAAAGTGGCACAGGGTTATGCTTCTCCTTTAGCATTGTTGAACAACGAGTTAGCTAAATTGGATTGCTTGGTTAGTTTTGCCATTGCTGCTCAATCCGCTCCCAGACCGTATGTACGACCCAACATGTTGGCCGAAGGTTCAGGCGAGTTGGTGTTAAAAGACATAAGACATCCCTGCCTAGAATTGCAAGAGCACGTATCGTTTATTTCTAATGATGTGGAGTTTCGAAAGGGTATTGAAGTATTGAAAGTGTCATAAAAACATTCGGTTTAAAATAATTTATCTTCTTCTCCTTTGCAGAAGACTGCAATATGTTTATTATTACGGGACCGAATATGGGCGGCAAAAGTACTTACATACGTTCAGTAGGCACTGCCGTACTGATGGCTCACGTTGGCAGCTTTGTTGCATGTTCAGAAGCTTCTATATCTATGGTGGATTCTATACTGGGCCGCGTAGGTGCCAGCGATAACATTATTAAAGGATTAAGTACTTTCATGGTCGAAATGCTTGAAACATCGGGCATTATTAGAGTAAGTAATGACGGATTAACGGGCTAACAGCCATAAGACGATGTTGCAATGGTCTTGATTTTCTTCATTAACATTCAATTCGTGCAGTTTGTAATGTTTGCGGTTTTACGTTCTTTTCTTTAGACCGCTACCCATAAATCCTTAGTAATAATTGATGAACTGGGACGTGGTACTTCCACTTACGAAGGCTGTGGAATAGCTTGGTCTATAGCGGAGTAATTAATTTCGTTCAATGTTTCAGCAATACAAATACAAAAATTCTTAATATTTGCAGGCATTTAGCAAAGGAAACGAAATGTTTTACATTATTTGCTACACATTTTCATGAGATTACAAATTTAGCCAGCACTGTAAAGACTGTCAAGAATTGTCACATGGCTGCTGTAGCTGATAAGGAGAATTTTACTCTACTGTATCAGGTTAGACCGGGAATAATGGAAAAAAGTTTTGGTATACAAGTGGCAAAATTGGCGAATTTTCCTAACGACGTAGTCCAAGTAAGGCTACGAAGTCTCCTTTTAGAGTTTTTGGTAAAACTTTTGCAAATTTTATTTTGTAGAACGCTCAACGCATTTACAACGAACTTGAAGATGATCATCTGGCCAAGCAAACACAGCAGGATAAAGACCTACTGGAAAAAATTCATCTCGCTATTGAGCGGTTGTCGACTACTGGGAACAATAAAGATATTAATGAAGCCGATTTGACAGAATTAGTTGAAAAATTCGCCCAAGATATTAAACGGTTGGATAGCGAATATTTTAAGGCAATTTTACTTGCTAAACAAGAGGAAAAATGTGATTAAGTGCTTAGATACACACACGAGATGATTATTTTAAGGATTTTTTTTTAGTATTTTTACGCTTACCACCTAAGGATCGAAATATACCAGATTTGCCCTTCGTCCTCCCATCTTTTGTAAAAACGTTTGCTTAAGTCGATTTTCGTGAAAAAATGGGGGGGACGTACATACAAAAACGCCTATAAAATAAATAGAAAACTCTTTCCTTCCAATTTTAAACATGAAATGTATGTTTACACATTCGTACCACACTTCGCTGACAGTCAAAGTGCTTTTAGAAAAAATAAAGGTAAAAAAAAGTGGATATCTTTTTGCACATATTAAATGACTATCACAGCGTTCAGCTCTAAGAAGTAATGTTGACTGCTAAAATGTTTCAACCTGGTGTAATAACGTTAAAAAAAAAAAAGATTCCTAAGTAACTGAAAAGTCCATAAGTAATTCAAAATTTTCTTTTTACTGGCGGACGTTGTTGTTGTTTCTCTATTTTTATTTTATATATTCATTATTTCGGCGATAGAACGAAAGTTAATTTGCAATGTAGTCCTTCGGCACACGCTGTGGGCAGGGAAGGTGATAGCGAAAGTCTTACATAAACCATTTCTTAAGAGTAAGACCGTTCAGGTTTTCCTGCAGCGCTGGGCATGTACTTTTTTTTTGAATTTTTATTTCGCAATTATTCAATTCGTTCAACTACTTTGTGCACTTGTAAAATGCTTTTGATTTTACGCTAAAAGCCGTTAGCTGGTTTTTTACTTCACATCGTTTATAAAAAAAAGTACCACATGTTGAGAATGGAGAGTGCACAGAGTTGCTTTCAATTAACGATCTCAACAATTCTGTTCAATGGAAATGTCCCCGAACATTCTGTTAAAGTAAAATTTCGAAACTTTTTGAGTTATGTTAAATCATAATAAAAATATTTTAGTTCAAATCGATCACCTGTATTGAGTAAATGCTTCGTAGTGGCCAAAAAAAACTGGCTGTGGGATATCAAAAGCGTTTGTCTAGTACGTAAGTAAACGTGAGTATATGGAAGTACGTAAGATGCAAAGCTTTTATGTAAAATTAGAGTTATATTTTTCATACACATATGTTAAGATTAGCAATTGAAAAGCTTCACTTTAAGAAGAATGTCCATTAAAATAATCAGTTTAAATAATTTTCTGATAGCGAGAGAGAGATATAGTTTAGAGCTGGTGAAGATATGAAATTTTTGAAATCTTTCACTTATTGTGTTTGCCGCATGGTCGAGATAACCGTCACTTTCATCAAATCGGTGTTTTATTGAATTTCAATTTCAGTGCGTTTAGATCATACTTAGCACCCGTAGTTATAGTAAGTGGTCAATGGGCAAAAGCATAACATTTACCGACTTTCGGCGCACGAATCACTATTTCTTTCTTTCTTGCCCCATTTTATTTTTACCATCAGTGAAGCAGATGTAATTGACATGGTTCAATAATTTTTCGTATTAAACAAAAAAAAAAAGAAATTGATAAATAATAATAGATTGTTGTTCTACATAATTTATTTTCTTAAAACTCCGTCAATGCAGAAACAAGTACGACGGTAGTAGAAATATTCCGTAATAAAGGTGTAACTGCTCGCAATTTATTTTTGGTAAGAAACTCGAATTCTTACTGCACAAATTTGTTAACTAATTTCGGGTCTGACAACATTCTGCAAGCCTACCAACTTGTTTACATTCTAATAATATCTTAACGAGGTTACTATAAAATATAAACCTGTTATCAGATCAACTCTTCTTAATAGGCGTGTCTTGTCTACGCTGAATGTAAATGATCTTTTAACTCTTACAGTTTCGTATGGTTCATAAATTAAGCAATCGATTGCCAAGCTTTGGTATGTTTGTATCGGCTTAGTAGATGGCTCTTAGTTCGAATCGATACCGACTGTAAATGTGGTTCTTTGCTAGATACTCTTGCAAAATTCATTATTTGTTCCACCATTTGAGTCCAATTAATTCTTCCAAGCATCTTGTCAAAGGATCTATTTGAACATAAACAAACAAATAAATATAATGCTATGAGATTTAGCTTAGCTAGATGTGTGGGAAGGAGCTTAGCTTCTCTCTCACGCACGTTTAACAGTAAGTGGATGATAAATATCAGGAAAGTTCAATTATGCAGAATAAAGTTCTCTCTTCTGTTAATTGTAATATTTTTCTTTTATTTGAGGACAACAGCACTAGTGCGTAAATTGTTAATTATTTTCCTTATCATCAGCAAAGGCAGAAATCATCATGATTTTCATTTAACACTTGACTAAAGCTATAAAAGCTAATTGTAATGTCAGCGCGCCATTCTACGATAACACTAGAAAGTACATATATATATATATATATATATATATATTTTTTTTTTTTTTTTTTAACCAGACAGATTATTACAATAGTTTTTCTAGTTGTTCTACTTTCAACACAGAAAGAATATAATAAAGTAAGTCAAAGACGAATCTTAAAGACTTACCATTTAATTATACTTTATTTTCTGAGGAGTGCAACATGAACTTCTAAAGAAATTCCTAAGCAGTTAACAACAAGTTGTCTGATGTCGTGCAAGCTCTATGTTCCCTTGCAATTAACTATTAAACTGGCAATGTAATGTAATGCGGGCGACAACAGCCTTTGACTTAAAGCGAAATAGTAGAAAATAAAAAAGTACAGCATCAAGCATATGAGTGTCGTTTTCATACTTCGCGAGAAATGCCGAAAGAGTTCCGTTTTAATTTTTTTTTTTTTTTTGTTAACATTAAACCGTAGTCTTTCACCAATAAAATACCTTCGAAAGGATAAATTAACAGAACAGTAACTATTGTTCTCTGTTACTTTCAAAAGAGAATGCTTTAATTGTAAATTTATGGCGTAAAGATAGATGGGCTCTTTCGGGCGGACTAGGAATTAATACTGTAGAAAACATGTTCCTAAAAGCTATTCTTAGGTGCTACGTTCATGTTGATGACTGGCCTGTACAATTTTAACGTGAGGTTTCAAAAACAATCGTCGATCGCACAGTTGGCTAGCTCTGTTTTAAAATACCGTTGGATTTTGTGAAATCACTTGCAAATGTAAATGTCTCGCTCATATCGCAAGCATAACAATGGAAATCAATTTTAATCCCTTTTGTCTGATTTGCTTCTTTTTAAACATTCAATCGTAGGACTTTGCTCTCTGCACGTAATCGTACTTTATTTCACTTGCTTTCAACTTTAATTTGCTGGTTGGCCTTCGCTGAAAAAAAGCATTATACTAGAATATTCACATTTGTGCAAACTTGGTTTAATCACCAATTAGCTTCTGAAAGAACTATGACTATGTTAGTTTTTTTTTTTTTTTTGGCATGAGATAAAGAATCTTTGGAACAGCTTTGTACTAATCCAATTTGTCAAATTATTTGAAAAACATTTATCGCGCTTTTTTTTTTTAAGCGGTGTGGATGGCTACGAGATAAAATATCTTTTCAAAAACTTTTGATTTAAGCAAAAAATACTCGATTTGCAATACCAAGGAAAGATTTTACTAATAGATGACACCACTTCGGCTAATCAAATCGTAAAACTTCTTGATAGCATTTGTTTCGGTATATTTTGGCTTATTTCTTAAGTGAATTGTGACCGATTTTTTAGTTATCGTTAAAGTAGGGAGAGGTTATTACGTATTAAGCAGATAAATATCACCAAGTCTCTTATCTCGTTTTAAGCTTAACATACTCTAGCCAGTAAGCTTTCTACCATCTTCCAAAATAAGGCGGGGAGATTTCTAACCATTAGATCAATAACTTCCGGGACTAAACTATAGAGATTTAAACAAAAACATTCACATTTGGTTTTAAAAATTTCAATTCTCAAACCTAATCTCATATGATTTTAGTCATTTATTTACGAGTTACAGTTCGTCAATTTTAAAATAAAAAAAAAATCCGAACTTCGTGTGTTTGTTAAACATTTATCATATGATAGGATAAAATACCGTTCAAACTAAGCGTTGGCTTAACTCATTTTCCTCGGAAACAACAACAATTTTCGGGGTTTCATTATTATAATCAGGATCGTAGTAATGCTAAACGCAGTGAACAAAGAATGTGTGGTTATACCAGGAAACCTTAAAAATTATTTTTGAAAATTTTTTTCGACAATCGAATAGAGAAGTTGCAAGAGATCGCTGACATCTTATAGAGAATATGTTTACTATTCCTCAGGAAAATTTAAACAAGATAAAGCCGCGTTCCGAACGGTCAGTTGTAGTGGAATGAAAACATCAATGTTTTACTGAATTGCAGTACACGCAAAATTGTATGGATTGAAGCATTCCTTGCTGCCTAAGGCACGTTGTTCTCCAATCTGCTTCATAACGGCAGTTATCTGTTCCGGAATGTGAAGGGAAAAAGACACAATGGGATGATTACGTACTTTGAGGATTTTGACAAATCGTTCCATAGAATATTTGATTGGAATGTTTCAGAAGCTTATAAACAGTGACATTAGTGACACTTCAAAGAGACTATGTTGACGGGTAAGGTTTTGCAAAAAGAGAAAAAAAGAGAAAAAATGAGAAAAGGTTCTCTCTTCTATCTTTGGGAATTTATTATTCATTTTAACACCAATCTTCTATAACGATCACTATATAAGAGATCATAAGGGCTATTTATTCTTTTCTTAAATCTTTATTTATTATACGCATGGAATACAATAATATATTTTTTGTAATTTTGTCGTAAAATTTTAAAAATTTGTAATTAACAGATGGACAAAAAAAAGGAACCAATCCGAATCATTTTCAATAATGTTCGTCCTTGAGTCAAAACACGTGAATGTATAATAAATTTCAATAAAATATCTCAAAAATTGCGGCCTGTATGTGAAACCGTAAAAATACGATTCAGATAATGAATTCGAACCGATCGATCGATACAATAAAAGTTGAAAATTTTTCTGGGTATTACGTACGTCCGCTCCAAACTTAATATGCGTTGTAACACAAGTAGCGTAGAGTATAAAAAGATGCAACGTAGGTCAATTTTTCCGCACATGCACTAATCATTCAACCTTAAAATTTTGTAAAGCAAAATCCATCCATCATTCGCTGGGGGATCCGTAACTATTCTACGAGGGATATTTTTATACAAGTAAGCAATAAATTAATAACTAAATCAACTAATGCGTTCGTTTTAAGTAGAGATTTTTTCTGCCTCATTGGATAATTTATTGATATAAGATAAGAACTTTCATCAATATCAATAGCTATTATGTAAACCGACACTGAACACAACGCTAAGGTCGGCAAGATTAAAGTTTCCCTGGAATATATCGTCAAGGACCATTTGAATAGTTTTCATTTCATTGTATGTGAGCCGTTCATTTTAAAAGTAGCCTAAATGTATTTATTTTAGAAATGTCATATTTGTGCAAATCTACGAGAAATGACCACAACAAACCTATATTGTATATATATATTTATATATTTTTATAAGTTGTCTGATCTTTTTTTAACTTTATGACGTCATTTCTTTTTCGGATATCTATGGAATTTTGCTAAAGTTTGACATTTAACCAAGCAATGGTAGGTCGACCAATCATTTTTGCAAGTCATCTAATTACAGGTTACAAGATTACTTCTGTCTTTGAGATCAATCCTGCCGATCCATATATGGGTGCGAGTCAATAAGACTTGCAAATGGAAACAATGAGAAGAGAAGAGAACTTCTAAACGATCAGCTTGTATCATGTTTTACGTTAAAACGGCTTTCGGCAGAAAGGTGCCATCGAACTACTGCACTAAAGGACATTGTTTAGGTTATTTTGCATGTAGCTGTGATGCATGTTCAACGGCTTCGTTGACCAGCAATAAATCCTATTTAGTAAAAGTATGGATCCAAGTACATTTTTACATTTTCCTTTTAACACTTAAAAGTCGTTTCCAAATGTAAAGCAAATATCAAAGAATGTCTTTTTATTTTGCTTGTCAGAGAATCAACTTAGCTCACCTGCAAAACAAACGGTGCGTATATGCAATGAAATAAAAAAAAAAAAGAACATTTCTTTCTAAATAATAAAATTTAATCTTAATCTTAAAACTATTTTTTGTTATATTATACGAGTGTAAGTACAGTTCAGTAACCATAGTAAAAATAAATTATTTTTAAATAATATTCGTACGTATATATATATATTATATATATATATTTATATATTTATATTATATATATATATTTATATATACTATACGAGTGTAAGTACATATATATATATATATGTATGTATGTATGTATATATATATATATATATACACTTATGAGCAGATATTCTACATGCATTTTTAATTAATGAGAATATCAAAATTCCAACTAGCACATCAGCACACATAAAATACTAAAACGGAAAACAATTTCACGGAAAATAACATTTCAAGGTTACTAGAGTCAGGAAATTGAAAAAAAAAAAAACAAAAATGAAAGATTACAAAATAAAAAATACTTTTGAAAATTCTTAGATTCAGTATTTTTTTTTACTCAGGTATTCCTTTCAATAATACCTGAGTGTTTTTGGTACGAAAGATGCGTTCCTGTGATGGAAGTTCACCAATTAAATATTCACGCATCTGTTCGATAGCATCGCGCGAATGCCCGGTACCGTGAAATGCTAAAGTGGCGTCACGGCCTGCGTAATCCATTATTATGTCCGAACCGCCCGGGTGATCCTGTAAGAAATTTGTTACATCGTACACACGATCGTAGACAACGATCCAACAATCTGAGTAATCATCGTGCTGAGCAACGATTTTAAGACAAATTTCCGGTAATGAGGTCGCTGTGAGACTCACATTAGATTTGTTTGTTGTTGTCACTGATTGCGAAGTTTTCTGTTTAATAGACGGCGTTGGTATTATATGTAGGGCTTGCAGGAGACTCGTTATTGTAGTGGTCATGATGCGTTTTATTTATTTAATATTAAATACGGTTTCAATAAATAGTACTTCGTCTGGCTTTTACATCAAATCGCAACAGATCTTATATAGCAAAGATCTGCAAGATCTCATATAAATTTCAAAATAGTTTTTTTTTTTTTTTTTTTTTTTTTTTTTTTTTTTAACACCTTTTGTTAACACTTTCTTAGTTATTTTAAATCAATTGCGAAATTGTTTATTAAAGAAATTTTTCCTCAAAGTTCCGCAAATAGTTTATTAGTTTATTGATATAATATTTTTAGTAATTTTTAAAAGTTTTATTATTTTATAAATAAATATTTCTATCGTTTGATTTTGCTTTAAATTCTAGTCAATGAATGGTTTCAAAGCGCGACGAACGTTATCTTTTTATAAAGCTGCACTTAATGCTCGATTCATTTCTCTTTCATCGCTCTCCCTAAGTTGTTGTTGGTAATTGTAGCAAAATCTTATCTTCGTAAGACTGTCAATAAATAAAAAAAAATAAAAAAGAATCAACTTTCAATAGTAGCGTAAGAGACAATAAAGACAGATAGACAGACAATTGAGCGATAACAGCATCACACTAACTGTAATCAAGCTTGTGACGTCATAAAATAAAAAGAAACAATTATTGTGGTTGGCAGGGCTTGAGGGCTTGTTTTAAGCGAAACGTGTGTACATGCTGTGGTTTTTTTTTTTTTTTTTTTTATATATAAGAGATTAGTTGAATTGATTTTTTTATGAAAATGAGACCAGGTTTTCAGATTTCTCTGCCTTCTGTGCTCCTCTTCTCTCTTTAAGTGCAATTTTAATACCTGTGAGCGGCTATAAATCTGTGCGGGGGCTAGTGATGAACAATAATTAAATTTAAAATATTTTAATTAAAACCGCAAACACATAATCTGCTTGTATTTGCTGATTATCTTCTTGGATATGCACTATACATTTGTGGTGTAATTGTGTTTTTTTTTTTCATATATATATATATTTTTTTTTATCACAAATTCATTATCAAATTTCGGGAAGAACTTTATATATATGTTAGGTAATATGGGATATGTTCCAGCGGTTTCTTTTACTTATTTTTCTAATTTTAATTGCTTCCTAATAAAAATAAAAATAAAAACTGAGATATTCTTGTTCATCTTGAGGCGAATCTCGAATGCTCACCATTCGTGTTGAATATGTCAAAAGTGAACATTTGTTTTCTTCGTATTTTAACACAATTTTGGCATTTTTGTAAGCTTCGTAGTGCAGGAATGGATCAGCGAAAGAAACAATGAATGGAATGGCAAACAATTGACGACAACGAAATATGCAAGAAGGAAAGTAGAGAGGAGCTGATCAAACAAGAAGTAACCAGATAGAAGCACTTACGCACTTGAGGGAATAGGTCACTGTGACAGTTCAAAAAAAGCAAGTTTTTGAAAGCATTCTGTGGCCCGTGCTTGAATTGGTCCAAACTTGGAGAGAAGTTTGTGCGCTCTTCTTTCTATTCCGCTTAATCTTTGTGATACAATTTAAGTGCACATTTTTCGATGAGGTCGAGATGTCTTACGCACTGAGCTGCGGAATGTTATCTTAAAGATTCCTCTTCGGAAGAATCCTGTTTCGAAAAAAGGATTTTAAAGCTTCAGGCGAGAAAAGCGGAAGGAGAGAAAGATGAAGGGGCGGATAAAAGAAAAAACATAGATGGGGCGAATAAAAATTGGACGCTGATTAAAAACAGATATACCTGTAATCTTGCGGCTATTCCACCTTATTATTGCACCCTACTAATGTGTCTTTTCGCGTCTTTATTCAACATCTTTTGTGATTAGCTTCGTACCACCGAATAGTGATATTTAGGTTAACGTAGATTTTATTTACAATTCTTAGGAGATCCATTTATAAATTATTTACAGAAACTTTTATTTACAGCTCTTGCTCTTCCGCTCTTGCTCGTTTGAAATTTAACATTCATCTGTCTTGACTAGGCTGACTTTGCCTTTCGCAAATATTTTGCTTATTTTTTTATATTTATATTCTGCTTTTACATTTCTGTGTTTTTCCGCTAAATGCTCGATTAATTGTTGTTAATCTTTTCAACTCGACTGCAAAAGAGAGGTAAACTGTTACGAATGTGTATTTGACTTTAACATTTTTGGGAATTCCGTTCCTTATAAGATCAACTACTTTTCTTGCAATCTCAAGTCAAGAAATATATGGCTTTCGTAATAGTGTTATCGTCTATTATGACATATTTTCTGTTACAAATTTAGAAATTGTCATAAATGTTCTGGTGCTCATGAAGACTAACTTTCGCGCGCAGCTAACGAAATTACCGAAATTTCTTCTCTTAGACTCTCTTATAAGAGAAGTCGGCTCCATCACATTTGAGACTATTTGACGCCAGTTGATGCATTATTAGAAACACAACTTTTTAGGTCGCTTGTAATATTCTACGATCCATTATGTGTTAATAAATTAAGCGCAAAACTTAAAATTAAAATAATAACAAAAAATAAGAAAATATTTACAAATAAATATATTCAGTCTTGTACGCATTATGTATTGTTGTTTTGATTATTTGTCAAAAAAAAAAAACATGGAAGAAATTTTGAATTAAAGCAAAAGAGCCAAACGCAAACAAAAACATTAATACGTCTTGGGCTGAGGCTTTTTATAACTGTTATCAGTTCAGATTAAAATGAGAAATATTTCCAATAAATAATAATTATTACATCACATAATATATGAAGTGCGATTATTCTTTTTTTTTTTTATGTAGGGTGAATGTACATTAAGCCTTCGAAAGCATTAGTCAACTTATGCTTGAATATCTTGATTCATCATCAAGGTTTCCTTGACTAGTGATACTTTTTTTTTGGAAATTACATCGCATATGGTATGCGTTACATTAACTTTGTGCGGTTGTATGTGGCACTCAGAAGAATTTAGGATAGACCGCGCTTTTTATTCCGATTGAGTTAAAATCATATTGTGAGATGAGCAAAGAGGAAAGCACCGATAAAAGACGGAAATGGCGTATGATGTAAATCAAGCCCTAACAAGGTGCATGCCTTAGAGAATCTATCATGGTCCCTTTTTCTTTGAATAATGCCGATGGTGAGAAGGCGGTTTTCAATGTGTTTTGAGCGCTCTTCCCAAACACAAGGAGTTTTTAAATTGAAAAAGAACCTTGAAAAGAACCTTCGCACTCCTTTCGTTCGTATCTACAAAAGCGTCCCTTCTATGTTAAAGCACACTGCGCAAGATTGGACATAAGTGAAGGCATTGCGGTTATTCCATAACATAATTCTAACAAATTAATAAGATGTTTATATCTGTACATGGGTAGAGAAATGCAACATAGGAGTACAAGTATCAAAAAGTATCAAGATTCTTAGCTTAGGTTTCAACTTTAAAATGCATTGAAGCACGTCCTTCTGATAGTCTATCGATCTGTCCCTCTGTCCGAACTGTATGCTTTATGTTGTGAACATGTTCCTCTTAGCGAAAATAATAATATTGTCCTGGGATTTGCGAAAGAACTTCGAAGTGAATTAAACTTTTCAAGTTTGGTCGCCTAAGCGACAAAAAACTGGGAATACCTTTCCTTTCCGTATTTTTTGGTCATTACTCATGAACCGCAACCGAACCACGATATAAACTTTCGCTTTTATTCCGAAAGTAGCAAACAAGCAGTTGTGTCCGCCCAATAGTACGGAGTATAAAGATGAATTCCTTCTTATTTCCCAGTCTCTTCTAGCATAAGAGTGATGGGTACAAAAGATTCGGTCTCGACTGAATATTTTCGTACTTGTTTTAATTCCCCACACCAAGATCTAATTTTTCGTATTTGATAATTTATTACAAATCGGTGGAAAATTGATTTGACTTTCGAACCCCTTTCTTATAATGTTAAGGATTTTGGTAAGAAGTAATTGATTTCAGTTATATAGAAACAAGACCTAATGTTTGATATCGATGACACTTATAGCTGAGGTATAATAAATTGCTTGGCAAAAAATGTTATTCATGCAAGTCTTGCCCACTTTCTCTACGCACATCTCGCTCTCTTTCCTTTATAATACTTTTTCAAAATTTCATTTTTAATAAATTTTTTTTTATGACTTTATATAATTCTTAACATTTATAGTGTACATTGCTTACTGTACGAGGATGTACTTTAAGTTCATACAGATATATGTGACACTTGGAAAGACTTGAGACAGATCCACATTTCATTCAGCTTGTTTTCCTGTCCGTACATCTGTCCGCCCGGTTTTTTTATGTTCAAACTACAAGCCCCAAGTCTTGTGATATTTCGATAAAATTTGTTATGTCGATACGCTTTGCCCAACGACGGACGCTATAGAAAACTGTTCGGATCGATCACTTTTTCGCTCATTTCCTATATAATGGCTTATATTGAAAGGGGCCTGATATGAATAACTGATAGATGATGTACACTATTTTGTGTGGAGCCGTGACCCATTGTAGTGTTTCAAAATCATTAATTACAGTAAGCGGAGTAGGGTATAATATTTAATAAACTGTCTCGCCTGATTATAACACTTTAGTTTGTTTTTGTTAGTGTTTGTTCTTTCATTTTTATTAATATTTGATAAGCTTGTTTTTTTTTTTTTTTTTTTTTTTAATTTTTAGATAGGAGAGCAAATTATGTTCGGTTCAGATCGAAATTTTGCTTATTGTTCGTTGTTATCACCGAAAAAACGCAATTAATCGCTTTCTTTAACAGTGGCTTTTGAAAAGCCAAAATTTCTGTCCTACTTGATAATAATTTAATCGTAGTTTTCGTTTTCTGTTGATTGGGACCCAAGCAAGGCTTATAACCTTTTCACACCTAAGTACGTTTTCTATGAAAATCTGCATTAAGCAATCATGTTTCTAATCTTTCTCTTATCTGATTTGTTACCAAGTCTCTCGGGAGATTTTGTCAACATAGCAATAAAATATTTATTTAATACATAATATTCACCTAAATACATATATATTGTTGGTAATTCAATCTATTGACTTTAAAAATTAAGCAAAATAAGTTTCACACAAAAAATCAGTAGTGTTTGCTTAGCAAACAGAGCCTGACATTTACGAGCCTATATTAGGTATCTGCATGCATATGGTATTTATTGAAGCAAATTCAAGACAATTGTCAACTTATACTTTACAAACTTGGCACTTATGATTTTATTACATTTCTTCCACAGCATGCCTTCCTCCCCGTCTTTGTTACAAGTACATGCATACTAACCAGACATTTGTATATCAAACAGACATATGTGTATGTAAGTACTATATGACCACTTGGATGACATATATTTCTGGTCATTTCAAAGTTGTATTATGAACGCACACCTAAACCGTTGTGCGACAGAAAGCAAAGTTAGTTTCTAACATTCTTAAATCCCGCTTTCTCGTGCAAATGGGCAAAGATGCATGTTTGCATCCCTCTATCCCCCTATTCAGAGTAGTTGTCCTTAAGAGTCGCTGAGTAAATAAGAACGAAGCGACTAGTAAGTCACTATTCTGGAGTCCAAATCTCAGTGCGGTAGAGTTTAATTTATGTTGAGTGTTCAGTCGTTAAAAGCATAACACTTTGGCAAAAAAATTATATTTCGGTTTTTTTAGCTAAAAAGTATTCATTCAATTTTCTATTTACGTATTACGCATTATTTACAAGAGAATGATAAATAACTGTAACATTGTTTCGGAGAGAAATGATTTAAAATTGTATTGAAAATAATGCCTGGTAGTTGAGTTCGAAAGGAAAAACAGCTGTAGAGAAAGCCTGCCACGGATTCACTATAAGTAACTTCAAAGCAGAAAATACTTTGAATGGCGATCGCATTAATGCTACAATCTTTACCGTGCTTTCTCAAAGTCGTAGTTATGATTTTGAAGAATACGTTACGGTCGTGGCAACGTCCAAGCAGGATATAGACAAAGCTTTAACCTAAGCTAAGAGGGTTGTTATGATTCTTAACACACCTTACAAGCGGATAATCTGTGGCTATCTATGGCCTCTCTGGCCAAACTTAATAACTTGGTCTCGTCATGGATGTTAACGTTGGAGAAATAAGATTGCCCCAGATAAACTTTCCCATTATTCACATCTTTTTCTTTCTAGACTTCGAACGAGTTATAAGGAGGATAAGAGACATCCCCTGAGCGATTGGTCATTAAGAAAAAAAAAAAAACAAAACAAAACAACAAAAAAGTTATATTGAAATCGATCCTAAGTATGGAACCAATCTGCAAAGAAATCTTACTCTATACTCAGTAATAATTCAAAGTTAATGATACTAATAAGGGAGTAGATACAGAATATCTTCCAATAAATAGCAGACATCATAACGCAGCCCTATGAGAAACCTTATATAATTTTCTAAAAGCAATACCACGAAGCGACATCGCAAGCTAACTCGCAGTCATTAGGCTGCAAAAGTAGAGATAAAAATTAAAACTTAGCTTTAAAGTCTGTCACAAGTCTGCATCGGATAGGAAAATAGATTTCTAGGAAAATGGGTTTTGAAAAATATATCAAATACATGTAAAGTTAAGCATAAATTCGAAATTCGGTTCATTCAGCATAGTTAGCAAGCAACTGCATTAGATGCTGGGTAGGCAAGAAAATTCGTTTCAAGACAAATCTAAAATACTTTTAACGATTGTAATATGCGTTTTGTTGAAATATTTATTGCTTCGATAAGTAATTAGACTTCTAAGGTTTTAAATTACAATAACTATGAATACAATCAACTTAATTGTAAGATTTTTTTTTAAAAAAAAGGGAATACATGTATAAATATTTAAAATAATTATCACTTACATTTAAAACTGTTAAAATAACTTACAAATATATGCAAAATGTACTTTCATGACTAGTTTCGACGTTGACTTATCTAGATTTTTGGCAAACGATTAATAATTCACAAGAAATACATATTTATGTACCTAGGTACGTAGGTGCTTTCATTTTCTCAATTTACTCTTTAGTCTTCTTGACTTAAAAGTTGAGAAACTTTCGCACGCAAGAATTTTCTAAAGAGAAAAAGAACATCTTTAACTATTTCCCGGTTGAGCTTGTTCATTGGCAGCTCCTTGGAGTAAAGCTTGCAATTTGGCGGCCGCTGGAAATGAAGCCAAGTCCAATGGAGCTGCTCCCGTAGTGCTTTGTATATAAGCTAAAAGTCTAAAGTAACAAATTTTCATCAATTATTTTCGCCTCTCTGTCATTCATTTAAGGAGAAGTCACTAACCTTCTTAGTTCTTCGATCGCGTTCTGTTGCATAAGTATGTAGTTTTTTGCTAACAGTAATGTTGCTATTTTAGATAATTTCCTTACGGATGGTGAATGAGCATACGGTATAACATTACGCAATTCATCTAAGGCATCGTTTAAATCGTGCATTCGTCTACGTTCTCTGAACAATTTAAGCAAAAAAAAAAATGATAGAAATAAAATAAAGAAATTTCTCGTCTTCTCTTCATTTTCTTTCCTAATAGACTGACTTTCCTTCTTTACCTGGCATTTATATTCAAACGTACAGTTTTCCCTTGACGATTTTTCTGTTTACCACCTCCCGCTTCTCCTCTAACAGTTCCAAGCGTTTGAGGATTTGTTTCTCCTCTACCAATTCCAAGCGTTGGGGGACCTGCACTATGACCGATATTGCCTCCGCTGCCATCCAAGCTATTGCTTAGATTGGGAGGTAACATTAGATTCCCCGCACCCGGCTTATCTAATAAAGCCGTTTCTGGCTTATTTTCATCACCAGGTGGCAAACCCTGTTGCAGCATTCCCAAGCCTTGTGCATAAAAACCACCTAATCCTACCGAGCCTAAAGGTGTTCGACGTCCCGGAACACTTTGTGGAGGACTTGGAGTTGGCGTAGGATGACCGCCTGCCAACATATTAGCTGTGGGTGGTATGGGCGGATGACCCGGTAAAGCAAAACCAAACGGCAAATTTGAGTGATCCATGTCAACTGCAAATAAAAAAAAAATTTTATTATTACAAGTTTTTTTTAATTTTAAGAGAAACGCTTTTCCTAAACGAAAATGAAATTGAATTGCAGCACACACTCACCGATAATTGCAATAATAAAATACAAAAGTGCCAAGTAATAGGTCATAATTTTAATCTATTATAATTAAACTCTGCGCTATATGCGATAAAGATGCATATAGTTTGTGGGGATGTATGCAACGGAAAGGAAGGTGACTTGAAACAGACCCCCTCTCTGCTATACTAATCATTTCAGAATCATTTTCTTAATCGATTTAAGCGAGTGTGTGTTTGGTGCACTGGCGTATTTTGTCCCAAGAACCAGCCCAATTAAAAATGAATTGTATTCCATTTCCGCGATCTTTCCTCATAAAAGGACCAATTGTGAAAAAGTTTTTTCTTGGAAAAAATTTGCAAGTTTTTCCATAAAAAGAGCAGAGTATTCGGCATATTCCACTGACGGGAAAACTCCGGATGGGATGAGCCAATTTTCTAAACACCCTTGCATGTAAGGGTTCGCCTAGCTCTTTATATACGAAAAGAATATAATTTTTAGTTTCTATGGTGCAGACTGCACAACAACAAAGTCTAATATTTAGCATTTTAGAGAGGAGTAGGAGAGGAGTAATCAGATCGCTACAAAAATAGTAATTGTGTGGTAAACTACGATCTTGTCAGTTAAAGTTTTGCGTCGAAGGTCTCTCCACGAAAAGCATATCTTTGCATAGAAAGAAGTTGAAATTTTTGGTATCTTCTCACTAAGATAAATGAATAAAAGTATTAGGCAAAATGGTATAATATACTTAATGGTCGGCTTTCTCCGACTGTATCTATTTTACTTGTTTGTCATTGTAAATAGGACGTGTCTTAATTTTTGTAAACAAGTGACGGAACAACCGGTTTCTCCACGTGTAAAAATCATCGAACTTTGTATTTATTTTTGGAAACTCATTCATCCAGCGGACTTTAGCGCTTTCCATGTAAAGAATGGAAGACGTACTAAATAAGTTAAGTTTCATTTCCATTTTTGATTAACATTTTTTTAATCATTACATATTGTTGTTACGTTTTCTGTCAATAAATCACCTGTTGTGATGCATAAAGGGCTAACGAGCTCTTTGGCTAGCATTACCTCTTAACCACATACCAAGTTAGCCAAGTCTATCAATGTCATATAGCTGTCTTAGAAGAAATATAATCAAACTGCACTCTACACCTTTGAACATTTTTTTTTATATTTGTAGAAAACATATTACGCAGTTGAAACACCGTGAAAGTTGACGTCCGCAGATGGACATGTCGGAGGAGATGATGTTATCAAGTGCACAACTCAAGGTAACAGATGTAGAGATAAATTGAAGCATGATTGGGGATATACATGGTATAAGAGGACAATAATATTAAAAGACAGAAACTCGGATAAATATACAAACGGATAAACGAAGAGATGAATGGCTTACCACATGGATGCCATACAAAATAGATAATGAAAACGAATCATATATACGAATATATATAAATTGAACGGCAGCTAATTGAATAAACCGAGGGGCAGCTAAAGGCGGAGAAAATCTCGACGGGCGAATTATTTTTCGAAGAATATGGGAAAATGGTTAAGTAGGCATAGAATCGCAGGCGAATGAATCGTTGATGATTATTTCCAAGTGCTTGAGTTCGCCGTCTGTAAAAGGCACAAAATTGTATTCTGCTTCTTTTTGAATTATTAAGTGAATTATTACCTTTTCATAAAACGTGATTAATTTTCAAAAATTGTTTATGTAAAGACATGCGCTTATTGGGCTTCTACACTATGAATTATAATAATACATAATTGCAAAAACTCTTTGTGACGTATCTTGTTAAATAACCTCTACCTGATTCAATCAACTGATTACCTTGTATGTGTATGTTTTGTAACATAAAATATCTTTCTTCGTTTGAAGCAGTGTTGCAAACATTTCACGGCTAGGCTTGTAACTTGTAACTGTGCTTTGTAAATTTACAATACCATAAGCATTATTTACGAAGTTATAGCAACTTATTTACAGTTAATAATCATACACGGGAAACTTTTTTTAATAACTCTTCGACTCTTCCTTTCTGTCTTTCCTCGAACATCACAATTAACTCGGCCTGAGCAAATGCATCGCTTATAAAACTTTTTTATTGGTATTCCTGTTAAGCCTTTAAGTCTTAATGGATTTCCCGGTGTGTTTTTGTTAATTCCTTTCCATGCTTCATCTGTCGGGAATATTCGTTAATCTCTCCGTTAATCGGTAGCCGGAAGAATGGCTTCACACAACGAGTGCATTTGCATCCTGCATCAAGTCGGTGTCAGAAGAAAGTTTAGTTGTATGTGTTTACGCACAGTAATGCAAATAATCGAGAAAATTTTAATTTTTCTGCGTCCATCTGTATTCCCAAGCCAAACAGTGATGTCTTTATGGAAACAAAATGAACCTGAAAGTCACATATGAGTTTAGAATGACCCTCTCCATGTTTACGAAAACAATTTCGTTATGACAACGAGAAGCAGAAAGAAAAAATCAATCTCAGTCGCTATATACTTTTATATTTTAAGAAAAAATGCTAATCGAGACGGTATATAGAAAAAAAAGAGACGTATGCGTCAAGCGCGCTACTGCCTATAGGAACAAGCTACCAAGCGGAAAAGCCCGAGACGCTATTTTCAAAGAAGTGTACCTGTGTAGTAAATATAACACAAACAAGTAAGAAAATTACATTCGGCTGTAGCCGACTCTTTTACAAGCATCACCGTTATCCCAAAAAAAGGAAAAGAACTAAATTTTCATACCCTATAATATTAGGTGGACTTGATTGATTTTTTTCATTTGCAGAATAAAAGTGGAAATTTATATAGTCTACGCCTTGGATCGTTTAATGCAGGAACTATTTGAGAACGATAGGACTGCAGAACTGAGACATTAGACTGGAAGACAAACGATCTAGTTACGGGCAGGAAAAAGTTTAGAGGAACACCCCGCTATTCTCTAGAAAGCTTCACTAATTTGGTGAACGATAGAACCGTTTGGTTCATTAGGATTTATGTATTTAAGTGACATACTTAGATATGCTTTAGTTCATAAGAGCGATTTAGAACTTAATACAAGTTACGGTTTTATACAATTTTATAAACGAAGTGAACGCGTTTTAATAATTTCTCGGTTTAAGATAAAATCGGGGAATAAGCTATATACTGTTTCAAACGAATTTCGAATTAAGATAAAGAAAATTTGCCACAACGGAGTAATTTTCAATTACACATACGAGCTATAACCGAACTCAATACGAATATGATAAAAGTTTTATACCAATGCATTTATTTTTTAAGTGGATAAATGGAAGAAAAACATAATTTTTTTTTTCTTTTAAGATGAAGCGATAACTTGTAACATTGCAGTGTTAACAATAATATTTTGCTTTAACAAAATTAATTGTTTTTGCAGATTCATAGCAATAACGGACCAAAGCATCGCCGACCAGTAAACAAAAGTTTAAGAAGGACAACCCTTAAAATATGCAAAGTTGCAGTTAATACGTACACGAAACAACCCCAAATTCTGACATATGTCATTATTTAGTGCGGCCATCTAGTGCTATAAAGCAACATTACCTGTAGTCATCAGAATATTGCAAGTTGCTTTTTATGCCATACAGATGACGTCAGGGTATACAAAAAACATTTATATATATGTATATGTATATAAGTATGTTAAAAATTGACTGTAATATTAAATATATACTGATAAGGAAACTGTTGTTTAAGTAAATCACCAGATTTTATTATATATTTTAAGCACCTCTTGTATTTAGCGTAGTATAGGTTAGTCAACTGTAACACTTATTTAGTAATTAATAGAAAAAGGCCTTTAAAGGTATTACGGGCCACGAGCTTAACTCATAACATAGATATCAGCTTAATAGTGTTTATGATTTTTATGATTTTTATTATTTTGCTGTTTATTATTTATAATAAACTGCACACAGTTTAATATGCACATTCATTACGATTTACAAACACGTCCATTTTTACAGCTTATATATATATATATATATATATATAAGCCATCAACTAATATAATAATACCGGTAGCTTTAATACATGTTATTAACGTTTTTGTATGACTCGAAATCCAAAAAAGTAACCAAAACCATTAAATGGAAAGTTGATTTGTTTAATCGCACTTAATATTATTTGTTGCAAAATAGTGCAAACAACAATAAAAACGTTGTAAACTTTAGGAAGACGCAACAACATTAGCAGCCCAGTAACAATAGCAACGGCAGCATCACAACTATTTCACATAATAGCGCTTATAGCAGACATGACTACACAAACACGATTGCAAATACCAAAAATCCACCACCAGCACACAACCACGATTTTGCGGTATCCTGAATCCTGATTTTCACAATTTCAATACATACATATATATATATATATATATACAAGCATACATACATACATATATACATATATACATATATACATGTACTTGGACACAAATAAGATCATACAAAAGCAGGAAAAAGTTTTCAATGTTGTGCAAGTTATTGTTGGAATGGAGCACATAATGGAGTGTGTATTATAATTGTATGTGAGTGAGTATGAATTGTGTTTATTTATGTATGAGTGCAAGTACAAGTACATTTGTGTGAGTGTGCGTAATGCAAGAGTTCTCAAACGGTGTACCACAATGCCATCGCAAGGTAAATACTTTTCATAATTAATAGAAAATATTTAAGAGAACATAGTGGAAATCTTTTTCTAAAGCAATTTTTTGCAAATAGTTTTTTTTTGTATCCACCAAATAAGATCTAGTGATGCGCAATAGAGACCAGATAATACTGTTATATATTTAAATCAAAATTTTAAATCTGTTTAACCTGTTGGGCTGTTCTGTAATGTAAAAATTTTCCTATCAATGAAAAAGCCTTGTGTCGCCGTTAAATCTTCTCTTCTGTCTCACACTTTCAAGCTGCCAAAGTGGAACTTTCATGCATATACATAAAAACTTGGATCGTAGACGCTGCATGGCTCAAAAGACACTTGAAATTGCCAATCATTAAAAAGCTTGAAAGTTGGAAATACTATGACCTATGCTTCAAAAGTTTACGACGCCTTGTATCTCATTCATTTAAATGTTGGTTCAGAGAAAAATTTCTACCAATCGATCGATTGACACTGGCAAAAATTTTGCAATTTTTATAGGTTTTCCTAAGACGATGGCTATGCGAGAGGTTCCATAAAACCTTCCTTTTCCAAGTATGGTTTCTCCATCTCATTCATTGAAAGAAAACTTGTTCGAAATAACATTTGACAATTTTTCAACAAGACTTTATGCAAAATTCTATTTAGCAAATTTTTATTAAAAATCGTTTAAATCCTCATTTACAATGCTAGCTATGTGCAAGGCTTTCACTCATCGACTATGAAATGGAAAAGTTTGGAACTCTCTGCTTTAGAGAATTGTGGTTCGGATTTTTATTCGTTTATGGTTTTCTCTTACTGTTTGTTCGTTTATGAATATATAATATTATGCAGGGAAGAAAAAACAAGCAGCATAAAACCAGGGTTCGGAAACAACAACTAAACAACAATGGAAATAGTATTCTCAAAGTGAAATTTCATATTTTGCAACTAAAAGCTAGCAACATTTATTTTTGAAATCTATCGATGTGGGGCCTAAAGTTATATTTCTAATACATATCCTTAATCACTTGTGGTATAAGGGTGCATTAGATTTGTGCGCATGTATATAGCACCCGGTCGAGTCAGAATCGATTTAAGCTTCTCTGTCCGTCTGCCGGTATTGTTTTCTTGCGTTCAATCTACAGAATGCATTTTTTGAAGAATCTCAATGAAATTTGATAAATAAAAGGGTTTTAGCTCAAGGATGAATATTATTAAAAATGCTTCAGATTAGAGCATATTTTTGATTATTTCCCATATAACGCCTTATTTGACTAATTGTGCGATGGTGTAGGATTCTTAATGATGGGCCATGGCCCACTATAATGTTTTCATTCGTTTCATTTCTTATATGTATTATTTATCATATTTTGGTAATCGATATTTACGGCTGCTCTTAATGCAGGCAATTAATTTTTATTAGGATTTTTATCATCTCCGACGTCAATAATGCATTGGAGTATTTGTGAGAACCTTTTCTTTTGTTTTATTTTCTCATTGATGGGTATGTAAAAATGGCGAAAATATCAATTTCCATTTAGGTCTAGCTTATAGGTTTTATTGATCTGTCATAGAGAATAAAATAAGACAATTTATACCTTTGGACATTTAGATAATGGAAACGTAAGCATAAAAGAACCGATTTGATAATAGAACCGATTAGTTTCGTGGAAGGCAAGAATAGAACGTTAGTAAGTAAAGTTAGTAAAATTAATTAGGTTTGAAAGGCAAGACTGCACGTTATGTATGGGGTATATAATTCAAGTTCAACTTATACTATATAGGATTGGTATAAAAACAACAAAACGCCATTGTCTCTTTCTTAAATTCATAAAATGCTTTTTAATTGATCGAAAAATTATCGTGATTCACTTAGCTGCAGGATGAACGTAAGAAGCAATTACCTCTTCACCACTAGATAAATGACTATTTGCTTGTGACTTTAGAGCAGAGGTTAGAAACGTATTAATCTCTTGGGAGAAGCTATAAAACGAAATATTAAATCATGATTTCACCAACTAATACTGTTTCTTACACTTACGTCGCGTTAGTACGGTTAATTCAGTTTTGAATATATATTCTGTATAAAAGAATCGTAAATTTATTAACCACCAAACTATAGGTAGTAGGAAAGGAGAAATGTATTTTATCTGTTATCGCACCCTGACACATTTTCTTCATTGCTTTCGTTGATATCTATTGTATTCATGTCATAAATGATTATAACTGATTACATAGTATTGCAAATTGAACGTATGTGTGCGTATGTATAATAGCACATCGTCACACATATATTCACGTATAATTTAACAACAATCATAAAGTGTATCCATAAAAGTTCCCTATCATAATAAAACGTGTCACCCTTACCCCAGTAATTATATTTTTGAAACTTTTTTTTCTCTCTCTCTATAGTTACATTTACGAGTCATTCAAGTGGAATTTCATTTTTACCAATGTATTCTGAAAGTTTGATTTTCTCTTTTTCTATTTTCATTTATGTACGCTCAGTGTGTACCTTAAAAGGAAATTTATGTTTAATATTCATTTCGTTGAAGAAAAAAAAAAAATAAAATGAAAAAAAAAAAAATTGTATTTTTTTTTCATTTATTTTGCACAATTCAGAGTCGCTTTTCTATTGTAACTGAATCTAATCGTTTTACGACGGCGTTACCGATGCCTTTTGATATTGCAGACGCATTGAATATAACAACGATAGCAGCAGCAAGTTTTCACACTATTCGACCGCTATTTCATTCACTATTTCAAAAGTGTGTGATTTATAAGGGTTGCGCGGTGTTACTCGCACTGCCTGCCTGGCAAATTGCCTGCTGTCGAAATTCTCCGTAACTCCGACTGTTATGATTGCCATCCAGTTCCTGCTCCTTGTCTGATAGTCTCCAGTGTTATGATTGTTACTAGTTTTTTTTTTTTTTTCGTTTTTTTTTTTTTTTTTTGATGTTATTCTGGTTTTTAGATTTTTCATGTATTACTTGAGCACATCATAATATTTTTACTATTGTAATATGTACATATATATGAATGTTTCCTTTTGGAACAATGCCACTAACTGCACACATGCCAGCAAATTCTATGCATATTAGTTTACCTCTCTCTTTTGTTTCCTTTAAAATTTTTTTTCTAAAATATGCTCTATATATCTTTGAAACAAGCAAGAAAATCACATCCAGCTATAACCGAATCTTTTACTACCTACCTACGTCGATTTTCTCTTTTCTTATACAGGTGCTGCACGACCATCGGTAGAGTATTTTTGGACTTTGTTATGACAAGGACGAAGTAACTCATAAGTACTGAGAAAAAAAAAACTGAATTTTCAATTTTTGAACGGAGAGGTGTTCTCAGTTTAATTTATATTGCGGCCGTGTTCTTTTTCGCTCATATCTAATACCAAACGTTGTGCAAGAACTTCCAATATATCTGCCAAATATGAACAGGAGATCATTTGCTACGGACATCACTCAGAGGGACAAGCAGAAAGACGAACAGACGAAGAAACAGAGTTAGAATATGATGCTAATCAAAGATATACAAATAGTATAGAGCGTCACCTTCTGGGTGTTGCAAACGTTCAGAGAGAATGAATATGCCTTAATCTTTCAGTAGTGGGTATGAAAAAAACACATTTGTATTCTATTTAACCATTATTTAGTGTCCGAAAAGTCTTAAATTTGCATTTGCATTCATATCCCAAGTTGGGAATGCTTAGAGGTACACTGAAGCGGCCCTTTTCTCGGAAAAAAAAAAACCAAAGAGGAATATAATATTCTGATCTGGACTCTGCTATGAATAATAGTAAAGTTTTCGTGACTATCTTAATGGGTGAACATGCGGTTATCGTTCGTACATGAGCTTAATTTCACATTTCTATCTCAGCTTGTGTGACAACGACTGTCCTAGAGGGCCAGAAGAACGACGAGTGTAGCATAATAGGCGAGAAAAATATACTTACGATGTTTACGATGAATCTGGTAACACCACTTGATTGTTTATATGTATTTGTTCTCTTTTAAGGTACATCTTGCGTACTTAAAAGAAAACAGAAACAAAACAATACGGTAAGCGTAACGAGTTATGTAAGTGTAACACAATACCACATATGTCTTAAAGCTCATACCACACAAACTGTACTGCGAGAGTAATATAAGCTAATATCTAATAGTATAGCAGGTTATTGGATTAGAAATAACTTTGCCATTTCTACCAATCGTGGGAATTTTCATTTATTTATTTGCTTAAACATATAGAGGACATGACTGGAAAATAGAGTCAATTAAATAAAGCAGCGCTTTGAAGCGAAGTCTTAAATTACGGCTGACAATTAAAGATTAACAACAAAGGAACCAACCTTACAACTAGAAAATCTGTACATAAATAAGAAATATGGGAGAAAAAGGGGGAAAAATCTTGCGCGCATCTGGCACACAGGAGCACGTTTATAGCCGATACACATCAAATTGAGAGTGTGCCACTAAACGAACGTAAACATGCGATTCGTTGG